CTCCACGAGGTGAGATCTTGCATGGAGCACCAGACCGAGGGAGACTGACAGTTAATTTGTATTCCTTCCATTTGCGAATAATCGCACTAACTGTTGTCACCTTCTCATTCAGCTGCTTGGTGATGGTCTTGTATCCCATTCCAGGCTTGTGTAGGTCTACAATCTTGACCTGACATCCTTGTACTGCTCTGGTGGAGAGTTTGGAATCTGATTGATTGATTCTGTGGACATGTGTCTTTTATACAGGTAACGAGCTGAGATTAGGAGCACTCCCTTTAAGAGAGTGCTCTTAATCGCAGCTCGTTACCTGTATAAAAGACACCTGGGAGCCAGAAATCTTGCTGATTGATAAGGGATCAAATACGTATTTCACTCATTAACATGCAAATAAATGTATAACTTTTTTTACATGCGTTTTTCTAGATTTTTTTTTGTTTGTTTTTCTGTCTCTACACCTACCATTAAAATGATCAAATACTTTTTTCCTTCAGTGTATTATCTCCTACAATTTAGAACCCAAAGCTATCAAGGAGGAAGTTTTTTCACAGCACATTGTTTAGCTGTACTGATAACGGTAAAATAAGATTAAAGTCAATCATATTTAGGGGTTGACCTCCCACAAGGTGGTCAACTGAAGTGATTTCACAATTTGTCCCCAAAAAAGTGGAGAAAAAGCTTTAATCCCAATTAGATGTCCCCATGGATCAAATATTAATAGTGGAAGTATTGAAACTATTTATAGATCTGTGTATCCTACTTTACCAACATTGCATCAGAATATTGTAAAAGTAATTTACTCACAACACTGGGTATAGGCTGACCATTACATTTCACTTAAAGGAGAACTGCCACTGTCACCAGCTAATAAAACACTGAGTTACCTATAATTTGTTAACCTTTTTCTTGAGACGCTCTGCTTTCTCTTAAAATCATTCATAAACCAATGACATCCCAATCCAGGCCAATCCAAGCACAGCCATGGTAAACATTACAAAAGAGGACAAATAAAAACATTGTTTCGTGTCTCCTCCTCGCTGTATTCTTTGTCTATGCTGACTGCCAAGTGCAAAGGACAAAACATAAAACAATAATCGGGGCCATCTTTAAAAGTTATTGGACCATGGGCAGGCATTTGCTTGGACCCCTGCACCCTGCCCTCCCACTCCCTAGCATGCAAACACACTCTGGACCCCAACACACAAAAAAAAAGCTCACAACTAAACAAACACATAAACATAGATCACAGACTTATATAAGTGCTGTGTAGCGGAGATCCAGTATTCCACAGGTTATCTCTGCTTAAGATCCCAGTAAGGCTCAGGAACAAGTAATTATAAATCCATAAAGCAAGGTTTCCAGCAGGTAAAATAATCCAGTAATATCCCAACAGCAATCCCAATAACTGGACGACACACAGTATCAGGAGCAGAACTAAAGATTTATTCAGACAGTGGCCTTATAAAGCATGCTCCCATGCAAGGGAGGGATTTCCATTCATTAATACAGTAGCCAATCCTGTTCTGGTAACCTCCCACACATCCCCTCCCCTCAGCCTGCATCATAATCCCCTTATCCAGGACACCAATTCCCCCCGTTTCTGGATGTACCCCTAAACCTAGGGGTACCACTTTAAATTATACACCCCCTGGTAGCCCTGATCTGGGTGAACAACATATCCAAAAATCACCCAGATCAGACCAGGGGTTCGGGAAATTCATGGAGGGAATAAAATGACCGACTGCGCTGGAAAAAATAGCCGAATTGGGCTCCATGAGATGGAGCCCTGCGGTCGGTCCTGGAACAAGGGAATAAGTCACACGAAAGCCTCTTGTTACAGAGACTGGGGAGGGTTCGCCTGAATCCCCTCGTTCGGTTGTTTCTATCTACCGAACGAGAGGCCGTTCGGTAGTTTGGAACCGAACGAACCGGGCTTGTGGAGGTCTCAGCGGTGTTCGCCTAGTCGAGTGTCCGATTCGAGTTCCAGACACTCGACGGCAAAACACCGCTGTTCGGGAGTTTTAAAATGGCCGCCGCCACGTGTTCGTTTCCCGAATGGCGGCCACCCCCGAGAACAAAGGACTGCTACTCAGCTTGTCAATTACCCGTTCGCAACAATGTTGCAACGGGTAATTGAAGGCACACTTCACACAGGGGAGGTCTGACTGTTCGGTAGTTTCATTCGAACAAACTAAGGGAATGAAACTACCTAACATTCAGACCAACACAATACATTTAACACATATAACTTTGCCATTTACACAAATGCAGTCAAAACCAATACAATTCCTAGGACAGCCCAGTGCCATCTGCTACATGCTGCTCAACCTTTTCTCTCCCATGGCACACAAAAGCTCTTCTCAGAACTCTATGGTACAGCACAATCAATAATATATAGTCACCATGCATCAGCACACTTGCCAAGAGGTCACACTGCCCTCACAGCACTTGCAAAAAGGTCAGACTGCCCCCACACTATTTGTCACAGTGTCACATTACACACACAGCAGTTATATGCATCACGTTAATGCCAATTTCCACATTGCTCCAGAGCACAGGTACACAGACACACAGGTGCATACACTGACACACATACAGATACACAGATAACACACTTACAGATAAACAAACACACACTGACATTTATGCAGATACACACAATAACACAGACACATACATGGACAAACATGCAGATACACAGATACACAAATACACATACAGATACACATACAAACATATAAATACACAGACACACAGATACACATACAGACACACAAATACACATACATACACACATATAGATACAAACAGACACTCAGATACACACATACACAAAGATACACAAACAAACAGATACGCATACAGACACATAGATACACACATAGACAAACAGATTCACTCACATATACACATACAGAAAAACAGATAAACATACAGACAGAGATACACAGACAGACACGCATATGCTCATACCAACACACATGCAAAATGCAAATTTTTAGACATCCTCCTGTTTCCTATCTTTTGGGTGCAGTAGGGATACTTCGTTGGGGACCAATGGCTGGCTGAGGTTGTTGAGAATCGGAGATCCCAGTTCTCCCACGCTGCTCTCTCCTACTACTCCCGCGTGGTGCTTGGTGTTAGCTGGGAGAAAGTTACCGGCTGTCAATTCCTCCCAGCACTGACTGATATAATCACAGTAGTCACACAGTTAAAATGCTGCAGCACTAACCGGCCCCTGATGACACATTGCCATCGGGTGGCCCTAAGTGCATGGGCCACCCCATGGGCACCCTCAGCTCGTGGCCCACAAAGGCCGCATGAAAAACGTTTCAGGCGCAATGGTCAGCTGTTTTTGGGCCCCACCCCCAGGAATAGCTGTGCCTGGGGCAACTGCCCCTTTTGCCCCGCGTTAAAGATGGCCCTGACAATCACTGACATTAAGCTAAGATGGAGGTAACCAGTTGCAAGCATTTGTATATTTATTTCACACCTCACATATACATATTTGTAAGAAGTTGAAAAAAATTGAAATTGAAAGGGATTTGACAGATAATTTAAAATTTAAGGTCAAAACAGCCAAACTGGAAGAATTTGTCAGTTCAGCTACTCTGGTCTTAAATTGTAAATCCACTTTCAACACACTTTGTATTCTCCATTTAGTAAATAACCCTGAAGTGTCAGTTTGCCTTTAGCTGTGCAAACTAAAATAAGT